TCATTTTACAGAGGGGGAAACTGAGACCCAGAAAAGAAAGACTGTTGCCAAGGCAACACTGGGCCTCAACAGTACGGTTGGGACTTGAACCAGCCCTTGAGGCTCCCAACCTGGAGCACTGATTCTCCTGCTGTGCTGTCTAGGTACCACAAACAGGAGCCTCTCAAGTTCCAGACCTAGTCACCAGTCCTGGCAGTCCCAGATCTCAGCTATGCTAGGTCTCTGGTCCCTTCTGGTCCCTCCCACCAAACCCCATCCCATCACAGAGGAGACAGTCATTCCTACATGCTCACAGCAGTGGGAGGGATTCAGGGCAGACACCAGGAAGGGCTTTCTGGCAGCTGGGATTTAGATGACAGGAACAAGCAGTCATCTTCTCTGAAAGTTTCTGAGAAGAGGGCAGAGGCCAGGCTGCCCTGAGGCAGCACTGGGCATGGGCCCCAGCTTCCTTGTTCCCGGAGAGGGTGGGTTTGTGAGGGAAGAAGACTCCGGCCTGAGAGCTGCCTCCCTGGCCAGGCTCCGGGACTCTCAGCTGGGACCAGAAACAAGGAGGTGAGAGTGCCTGTAAGGACAGGCCCTGGAATGCTGTCCTCCTCTGAGAACCTAGGCCCACTGCCTCCAGGAAGCCACTCCTGACTGCTCTAACCTCCCCTGTCTTTTCCTCCTTGGAACTCAGACAGAGCTCAGCTCAGGGAAGACTCTCTGAGGTCGTACTGGGCCCTGCAGAGGTCAAAGACAACGAGGAAGTCAGGGCCCTGCCCTCATGGGCTCCCAGTAAACAGCAGGGGTTCAAATGGTGCAGTGAGGACCGTGTCTCCTCCTTAAGGAGAAAGAAGAAAAGTAAACCCCAATCAAGCAACTTACAACATATCTGAGCTAGGCCTGAGACAGTGAGGAGCCTCTCCTAAGTAGCTGTACAGGGGGCCCAGTGGTCATGAAGCACAGTGCTTGGGGGGTGGGGGTGGGGGCGGCAAGTTTGAATCCTGGAATCACCATCAGTAGATGTGCGAGCTTGGGCAGTCACTGAACCTCTTTGTGCCTCAGTTTCCTCATGAGAGTGAGACTAACAATAGAACCTGCTAATAGGGTTGCTGTGGATTCCTGGTATGGCGCTGTAGGATCAACACTGGGCTGCAAGCTTCAAAGACAGCAGTTCAGATCCACTATCTGCTTATCAGAAACCCTCTACAGAGTCGCTACGAGTCAGAGCCAGCTAGATGGCACTTAACAACAACAACCATTAGGGTTGTTGAGAGACACAGGGCTCCCAGAGTGGTTCCACCACATCACCTCATGGGGAGAACAGGCCATGGTCTGAGGTGGACTTCCATACACGAGTCCCAGCTCACACTGCTGTGAGAGCACCCCCTCCCCCCACCTCCTACCTAGGCTTGGTTCTCCATCCAGCTAGGCTGGCTGTGTGTGTGCGCGCGCGCACGTGTCTGATCATTTCATATTAAATTACCAACATTTCACACATGAGAAGATCAAGTCTGAGAGATGAAGTCATTTGCCTGCGGTCCCTGAGCTACTAAGTTTCAGGGGTCTTGACTCAGAATCCAATGTTCTGCTCACTCCACCACAACCTAACAACACAGCCTTGTCCGGAGCCGAGGGTGGTCTAGAAAAACGCCCACGGCCCTCCCTCACACACCCAGACACTGCCCCCCTCCCACTAAGCTGGCAGCTCCATGTACGCCAACGTGTTACCTACTGGTCCGGACCTTGACCCTGACCTGCGCCTCTCAACACTTCACCTCCCACTACACCCCACGCACCCCAGTGTGGCCTGCAGTTATGAGTCCAGAGACCCTGACAGGGGATGAGTCACGGCCTACATGCGCCAGGGACCCTGGCTGGGGTCACTGAGGCCTCCCCAGGGATTGGGGGGGGGGGGGCGGGTCAGGTTGGAAAATAAAGATGCCAGGGCTTCATCCCCAGAAATCGAGATTTAACTGGTCTGGGTTTCGGCATTTGTTTTAGAACGTGGTTCTAAAGTACAGCAGTGATGAAGCCAGACTCAAGGCTCCTTCCTGGAACTTGCTAGTAACGCAGAGCCTCATTGTGCCCTTTCTGTGAGGGGCTCTGCTCCAGGCCACGTCCATCCCCCAGGCTTGTTTGAGACACTGGGAGGGGGTGCAGGCCAGAGGGCCAAGTCGGGGAACAGCCAGGATCCCTGGGTCGCATTCACACAGTGCTTTCCCTGAGCCCCTCATCTGTTCTCTAAGGGAGTCAGGAAGAAGGTCTCACGTCCATGTCACACTTGGGGAAATTGAGGCTGGAGCAGAGGCTCTGCCACCATGAGAGGCAGTGGGGAGGAAGGTGCTCATCAGCCCACCCAGGTGAGGAACCTGGTGCCCAGAGTGGGGAGCATGGCTGAGCCTCCCCAAAGCAGGCCTGTGTCCTGAGGATAAGGACTCCAGACCCTAAGGGGTTAAGGGTCACTACTGACCCAAAGCCACTCTGGGGACTCTGATGTAGTGTCATCACTTCCTCTCCTCTGGTGTGTGGGGGGGGGACGTCTTTGAGTCAGTGTGGGAACAGCCTCAGCAGTGCACAGGTTGGGTCCCAGGAAACCCCACTACTACTGACAGGGACCCCTCTCTGTGGGGAATAAGCTCTGAGAGATGGGGAGGAGTAGAGCCCACAGTCCCTAGGACCTACTGCAGTGCAACAACCACCCCCACCCTCCCACCCCTGTGTGCTCAGATTTGACTGAGGGAGGGGAGAGCGGGTCATGAGCATCATTGGGGAAAGGGTCAGAAGTTGGGGTAAAGGAATCCTCCATGCAGGAAATGGGGCAGACCCACAACCCTTTGCCCCCTTCAAATTCCCTGCCCTCCAGGGATGACTGGGACCTTCACCCTTCCCAGTCGGGGGATCCCAGTTGCTCACACACACAGCCCTGGTCATCTGACAGCTTTGTCCCCCACCCACGCTGGCCCACCTGCCTCAGCCTGAACCTCCCAGCAAGCCTGAGTAAGGCAAGGAAGAGGGAGGGAGGGAGGGGAGGAGACGCAAGAGAGGCCCCCACTCCATCCAGTGTGGCCTCTCTACAGACCAGGGGCCCCCACCCTGGCACAGCTGGGCCAAGATGGGTAGGAGGAGGCCAGGAGCTGGAGAGGGGGTGGTTGTGCAACCCCCATCCCAGCTTCCTAGCCCTGGAGCCTCTCTCTCCACAGACACCCCTCCCCTGCCCAGGGGGGCTCAAGCCTGAGTCTCAGGGGCTGTGGAGAAAAGAGGAGGAACCAGGAGGGAAGGATGAATGGGGACCCACCACGAGAGAGATGCTGGCGGCAGGCGGCGGGCAGCGGGCAGGCAGCAGCGGTTGTCCACGGCCGCAGCTGGGACAGGACCGGCTGGATGTGTGTCCCTCAGTCCCTCTGTCCATCCAGGGCGGCTCCTCTCCGGGCGGTTCTGAGGCCGGGCGGGCGCTGTTAAAAAGCTTTTTATGTGTGTGTGTGTTAATCACATGATTACTGTTCACCTGTATTTCGAACAAAGACAGCTCACTGTTTCAAGGCCCCGAACAAGAGTCTGGGCACAGGGAAGAGAAGGGAGGCGGGGGAGGAGGGTTGGCAGCGCTGGGGGTGGCATCGAGGAAAACTGGGGGGAGATTGTCCAAGGCCGGCAAGCGAGAGAAAGAGAAAACTCTTATCAAACTCCTAATTCACTGGGCTCCGGGGCCCAGACACACTGGCCCGATTGTCTGGTCGGTTGTGTATACGGAGCATGTGTGTGTGTGTGTGTGTGTGTGTGTGTGTGTGTGTGTGTTCTGATGTCCACTCCCCCCACCCCCAACATGCCTCTGCCTCGTGTGACTACCTCATTGTGTCCCACTACCCAGCCCCAGCCCCTGGTCTTTCCCAAGCATGAGACCTAGCCTCCCCAGACCCCCTATCCAGTCCCTGGAGCCTGGCATGGAAGCTAAGGACCTCTGAACCAGGCCTCAACACAGTCCAGCACCCCCACCCCACCACACCCCTGCTGCACCACCCTTGGGGCTTGCCCTCACTTGGGCTGTGACCAGAGGAGGAATGGACAAAATGATGGGCAAAGAAGTAAAAGGGGAGGGGGCTAAGAGGAGAGATGGGCAGAAACGAGGGGAGGGGAGATAGGGCACTTCCTGACCTTTCTTGGGAAGGGGGCTGAGATTTCATGACAATCAGCATTGCACTCCTACACCCACTTTCACCCAAGAGAGTGAGGCTCAGCCTGCAGACAGTTGGGTGCAGAGAGCTGGAGCCCAGAATGCCTCTCAGTCCATCTGGAAGAGGAGGACCCCCAACTCTAGTCCCAAGGCCAGCTTCCTGAGAACACTAGTTCATCTCTGCTTGATCCAGGCCAGACCTCAGTGGGAAGGGACTCAGGGTTCAACTAGGCCCTGTGTACTGGGAAGTAGGGGAGTGTTCAGTGGCTCTGCCTACCTCACCAGGTATGGACCTGTGAGATCTCTCTCTGGACCTATAAATCAGGACAAGGAGGGCACCCTAACTGGGAAACACGGCCAGGCACCCAGGGGCTCTCAGTAAAACGTGTTTAATGAAGCTACGCAGGCCGGTGACCCTCGGCCCACAAGCCCATATAGAAACTTTCCCTGCCTTCTCCCCACCTCTTCCCTATCCTTGGCAGATTGCTAATCCCTCCCCCTTGAGGCAGAGGTTCGGGTTGGTTGGGCCCAATTCTCCTCCAAACAATTTACTCTGACCCTCATCCCCAGCCCCTGACTCTTCAGGCCTAACCAACACCGCTCCCACCTTCTCTGACTAATCCCAAACTAAATCCAAGTGAGGTGGGCCTAGGGTGGCCAGCTTAGGGAACTGTGGGGTTGGGGGGAGGAGGTTGGGGCGCTGGCGAAGGAGCCCTCAGTGTTGGGGATGAAGGCAAACGCTGGAGGCTCCACCTTCTGCCCTTCCCTCCCCGCTCCCCCTCCTCGCTCCCCCTCCTTCCTTCCCCAGCCCTCGGAGGGCTCAGCGCTCAGTTAGTCTCGGGTAGTCGGACCAGGGTGGTTGGTGGTAAGGATTCAGGCTCCGTCCAACCGAGGCCTTGGCCTGAGGCTCCTGGGCCCCAGCCCCTCCCTCTTAGCTCTGCCAGCGTCCCCCCCAGCCCCGAGCTGGACCGCACACCTTGGGACACGGTTTTTCACTTCCTAAGGACAAGCCCCAGACTGGAAGAGAGGTCCGAGGAGGTGAGTAGGCGCTCCTCTCAGCCAAGCCCGCGCCTTGGAGCCCACAGTGGGGTGAAAAGAAGCTGACACCCATCTGCCCCCACCCATCTCCTCTAGGCCCCGTCGGGCTGGGGGCAGGCAGAGGGGAAGAGGGAAGGTGAGCGAAAAGGTGGGAAATTCCAGGAGCAAGGATTAGAGCGGAATAAAGAGTCCGTTTTTCTTCCTTTCCATCAACAAACCTCCACCCAAAAGAGGTTTTAAAAAACCCAAACCCACCCACACCCAGAGACGGTTGGGACCAGGTGGTGGGGAGGCGGAGGTGGGACGCGTCGACCTGGGGGCTGGCATTTGCCCGGGCCCCAGGGCTGGAACGGACTCCCAGACCTGGGAGGGCCGCCACTGCGGGCGCCCGGAGCTCGGCCGGCGCGACCACGCCGCCCACCGCGCCCTCCTCCCGTCCAGGTGGGCGTTGGACTCTTCTCGAGGACCCCGGCGTCAGGCCCCGGGGAGGCGGCCGAGGCGGAGGCGGCCGGGGGCGACATGGCGGAAGAGCAGGACCTGTCCGATGTGGAGCTGAGCCCCGTAGGCTCCGAGGAACCCCGCTGCCTGTCCCCAGGGAGCGCGCCCTCGCTGGGGCCCGACGGCGGCGGCGGAGGCTCGGGCCTGCGGGCCAGCCCGGGGCCTGGCGAGCTGGGCAAGGTCAAGAAGGAGCAACAGGACGGAGAGACAGACGATGACAAGTTTCCCGTGTGCATCCGCGAGGCCGTCAGCCAGGTACTCAGCGGCTACGACTGGACGCTGGTGCCCATGCCCGTGCGCGTCAACGGCGCCAGCAAGAGCAAGCCGCACGTCAAGCGGCCCATGAACGCCTTCATGGTGTGGGCGCAGGCGGCGCGCAGGAAGCTGGCCGACCAGTACCCGCACCTTCATAACGCCGAGCTCAGCAAGACCCTGGGCAAGCTCTGGAGGTGAGCACCCGCCCCGCTGTCGGAGGTGGGGGGTGACTAGAGCGCTGGCCCACGGTGGCATTGACTGGTCCTTCTCTTGGGGCAGTGCCCCCTTGAATGGGGACCATGCTCACAAGTTTCCTCTGGAGGTGGGATTCCAACCCAGGAACTCAGAACTCCAATGGCCTAGGCGGCCCAGGCGGGGTGTCCCCACCCGGGGCGTCCCCACCCGGGGCAGCAGGCTGTACAACACCCTCTTGTGGCTGGAATTCTAGTGTTGGCAGGCGGGGTGCCTGAGTTTCTTGAGGGAGTGAAGATGAGAAGGAAAGGATAGGATGAGGGGTCCACACCATAAGCCTTCATTAACACCCCAACACACATGTTCAAGGGTGCCACTGGCAGCCAGGTCTAGTGATAGGGGTGGAGAAATGGACAGGAACGCCTGGGAAGAACTGGTGGCCTCGGCAAACAGTGAGGAGGGACAAGTGTGGAGGGCCAAATGTCAGTTGGAGACCCCATCCTGTCCCATCTGAGTTCCCTCTGCCTCCTTGACCCGCCACCCTCTCCCAAGCTAGGGCCTTCTTCATCCCCTGGGGGAGGGGCACACAGAAAAGGCCTCCTCCCACACTCTGTCCCAGAGCCACCAGGCTGGCGCCATCTTCCCTCCCAGGGCCCCACCCAGGGTTGAGTAACCTCCTCCCTCCAGGGCCTGGGAACTGGGGCCGAGCACCCTGGTCAGGAAGAAACCTTGGTCTCCTACCCACCCTGGGTCCTTCAGAGCCCAAGCCTTTGAGGGGAGAACATGTCCCAGGAACCACCTGAGTAGCACCAGTATGAATTTGTGGAGCAGGGCAACTTCCCTACCCTCATCCCCAGAAGTCCTGGGGGCACCAGGAGATGCAATCCTGTGAGGTCACCTGACCCAGCCCACTCGGTTGATTGCCCACAGTTAGGCCCAGAAAGGCAAAGGAGTCAGAGCGGTCATGGAGCAAGTTGGTGGCAGAGCCAAGACCTAAACCGTGCCTCCTGAGTGTTCTCCCCTACACCGCCCTTGCTCTTCGCAGTGGGTCAACCTAAGAAATGGTCCAGCAGGGGATGGGCAGAGGAGAACATGGGTGAGGGGAGCCCCGATTTCAGGAAGTTTGGGCTTTGTTGGAGAGACTGGCCTCCTGCCCCTGCTGTCCCCTTCACAGCCCCCAACATAAGCGAGACTGGATCTAGAAGGCCAAGGACTTAGGGTGGTAGCACCAGCCGTCCAGCCCTGTTCGGTGCCATGGGGTTTGCTGAAGGCCCCTTTCTCCTGCCTCTCTCAGCCCTCCACACTCTAAGGCCCCATCCTGGGAAGCTTTCAGCCCTGGCTCAGTAGTCAGTCTGCTGCATGGACCCTGAGGGTCAGCTCTGTCCAAGAACAGAGTTCTCAGTGAGCTCCTCTACTCCTGGTCCATCCAGTCCCAGGTGGCGATCGACCCAGACCGACCTTTAGTGCTATGGGACAGAGAAGAGTTGGCTAAACAATCAGGAGAGACAGACAGACAGAGCAAGCTGGAGATGTGGGGGGCAACCCACAGAGTGAGCCCAAAGTAAGAATGGACACCATGTCTCCCACCACCTCTATTGCCGTGGACTTGACAGTAGTAGACCGTCCATGTCCTTGTCCCAGGTCCCGCAGCCCAGAAGCCTGGCCTTGGGCTCTATTCAAGAGGACTTGTTCTAGCCACCACATTCAAGCTGAGGGCTGCCCATGGGTGCAGCCGGGGGTGGGGTAATCAGGAAAGTAGGAAGAATAGTGGATGGTAAGACCATAGCAGGGATCAAAGACTGTGCCCACAGCCCTGGGTGAGAGCTCTCTGAGGCACCAGATGTGGGTGGGCTGGTCAACTAGCTCTAGCTGCCCCAGGGATTGCTCCTAATATTGCCCCAGACCCACCATTCCCAGGACATCAGAAAGAACTAGAACGCCGGGGTCTTGGAACTGAAAAGACCTATAGACAAGTGTGTGGCGTGCTGAATCACCCCAGAGCCCAGCTCCTGGCTGCCTTCCTGTGTGAATCCTGACACATTAACCTCTGGGAAAGGATAGTGAGGTGCTTGGTCACATGGCAGTAGGCGCAAAGAAACCGGAAAGGGTGCCTTGGGCTGGAGTTTCAGCCCTGGGGAGGGCTCATCTGGCCCCTCCTGGCCCCTAGCCCACAGGCCCCAGCCCCAGGAAAAGTCTTGTGCCCTTGTTCTGAGAGGAGGAGCCAGCATAAAAGTCAGTGTCCCCCTCCACGCCTGGGAAGCTTCCAGTTTTGATGAGGAGATCAGTGTACCCTTTCCCCCTCCCCCCACCCACTCCACCACCCCACCCCACCCCACCCCACCCCCGGCCTCATCCCAAACCTTGGAGATCAAGCACCCATGAGGACTGGGTGTAGGACAGAAGGGTCATGGCATTGTTGGGTGAGGATTGGAGCAGGAGTTAAGGTCAGATCGGAAATTGGGTGGGAGAGATGGGGCAGTTGGGTTTGGAGTTAGAAGCTTGGATAGAACTGAGGCCGTGGGGGAGAGGGAGGCCTGAGACTGCTGGAGGCCGGGCTGAGGTTGGACTGGGATCGCAGATGGTGGTGGACATTGAAGATTGAAGTTTTTTTAGAGTTAGGGTCAGTCATCTTCCCTCTCTTCTTGTCATTTGTCTTGCTGATTTGCACGGGGCTGCCAGCTGCGCAAAGGGCACAGAGAACATTGGGTGAGAGAGGTCTGAGGCAGGTAGCAGTAAGTTCAGTCTCTTAGCCTTTCTCATGACACCCTGAGGACCTGCTCTACACCCCAGGACCCAGGCCTCAGAGGGGCTTGGTTGGGGGTGGGGGAGCTAAAGGGACCTAGATTGGGACCTCTTTCTGTCCTGGAAGTGGACACTAAGAATGGTAGGGTCTGGTCAGAGTGAACCTGGGAGAAGACTCGGGCTGCGACTAGCTGAGCTCTCAGGAATGCTGATGCTGCAGGTGCCTGGTGTGACCACCCCCTCCCTCCTGGGGTGGAAGACCTGACCCTCTGCTGCCTGAGGGAACATGGTACCATTAGGGATAGGAAGTCAGGGGACATCTGGGGAGAGACTTTATGAGGAAGGACAGACTGATGGACTCTCCCTGGCATCTAGAATACTGAAAGTCTGGGTCCTTCCAAAGAGGGACAGGGCAGTCCCACTCTCCTCTGCCCCTCTGCAAGATACACCATTCTGCCTTTTTGCCCTAGGGCAGCCAGGCCTTGAAGATCCCCTCCACCCTGCCTGAGGCTGGAATTGGGGGCAGGGCAACTGCCCTCAGGGCTGCCTTCCATGGGCTGGGCTGGAGGGAGTGGAGGGTCTGTCTGCTCTTGGCCCAAAGCCTAGCTTCTGAAGAGGTATATGGTCTCCCCCAGAGGTCTTTGACCCCCTTGTAATGAAGGGAACTCAGGCCCTGCCCATCTCTGCACCCAGCGCACTGTTGTTGTTAGGTGCCCTCGAGTTGGTGCACAACAGCATGAAACACTGCCCAGCACACCGGAACTCACAAAATCAGTATCCCCGAGTTAATAAGGAGCTCTGGTAGCGTAGTGGTTACGGTTGAGTCCGGCTGCTAATCTCAAGATCAGCAGTTTGAAACTACCTGCTGTTTCAAGGGAAAATGAGGTTTTCTGCTCCCATAAAAGATTTACAGCCTCAGAAACCCTATACAGGCTTGCTATGAGTTGGAACCAACTCCACAGCACATAACCCTCTCCCCAGCAGCACTAGTACAGCACCTAGGTTTAGTGGGTAGGGGGCGAGCTGTCAGGCCCCCACATCCCATTATCTCCGCCTCCTCCCATCCTAGTGCAGGGGGATTTCCATCCAATTTCCTAACTGAAAGAATTAAAGTCCAGAGGAGTAACTAGCCCAAAGTCACATAGCTGGGAAATAGGAGAACCTAGTTCAAACCCAAAGAAACCCTGGTGGCATAGTGGCTCAAGCATGGTGCTAGTAACTGCAAGGTTGACGGTTCAAACCCACCAGTATCTCCAAGGGAGAAAAATGAGGCAATCTGTTCCCCTAAAGATTTACAATCTCACTAACCCTAAGGAACCAACTCCATGCACACAACAACAACAACAACCCTAAGAAACCAGTTTCGCTTTGTCCTGCAGCGTCAGTATGAGTTGGAATTTGCCTCAGTGACAAAGGGTTTGGTTGGGATTCAAATCCAGTCATTCCTGAAGCCCACGCTCTTCCCCCCACACCCCCAACACCATGCTGCCTCTCTGTTTCCACGTCCCCAATCCCTGGAGCTCACCCCACTTTTGTTGTTGTTAATGTGTGTCGTCGAACCGGTTCTATAGCGAACTGTATCAGGTTTCCAAGAACAGATAGTTTGAACTGTCAACCTTTCCATTATCAGCCCAGTGCTTATTTACAGCACCACACCACCCCATCTTTAGACAACTTGAATGATTACATTTTCCATTCCTTGAACTGACCACCGTCCCCTGGTAACCACCATTCCTACTCCCAAATCAGGGCCACCATATCAACTTCTCTCTCATTCCAATCCCAGAGAGATCCCAGCCCTGAAGGGCACAGTGCTCACCCCCGGGGCCTGACCCCCTGGACTCTCAACTGGAGGCCAAGCCAGTCCAAGGGCTCTGGCACTCATGCTGGCCCCTCTGTGCCCACCCCACCCCCTAGGCTGCTGAATGAGAGTGACAAGCGCCCCTTCATCGAGGAAGCCGAGAGACTCCGCATGCAACACAAGAAGGACCATCCGGACTACAAGTATCAGCCCCGGCGACGGAAGAACGGGAAGGCGGCCCAGGGGGAGGCTGAGTGTCCAGGTGGGGAGGTGGAGCAGGGCGGGGCGGCTGCCATCCAGGCCCACTACAAGAGCGCCCACCTGGACCACCGGCACCCAGGAGAGGGCTCCCCGATGTCAGACGGGAACCCTGAGCACCCCTCAGGTAAGTGCATCAAGGGGGCTGCGAGGGGCTGGTGACAGAGCTGGGGTGGGGGTGGGAGGGGTGAGCCTAAACTGTACAAGGAGGAGGGGGCTGGATGCTCCACAGCTACCCTGGTCCTGGAGAGGACCCAGCGTGAGGTTCAGGGCCCTTGGGAGCTTAGCGGTCTCCACGCTCCAAGATGCAGTTGGGCTAGATTGCTCTTGCCAGAGTGTTGCTGCTGGGTGGGACCAGTTATGGGGACTAGACAGCCACAACAGGGAGAGGGTCTAGGAGGGTTTTGAGAAGTGGGGGGTGGGGAGTACTTATTGCCTCTTGTTCCCCTCCTGGTGCAATGCGGAGACGTGGTATGTGACGTTGGCCATCTTATTTGATTCTCATTAGTGGCTGTGATAGTAACAGGGACAGAGCCCTGCTGGTTACCACTTTGCTAGGGTACTACATGTGTGTGAATGCATGCAGTCCTTACTAACAGTGTGCTGATGCCGGGGCTGCTCCCAGGAGACTTCCAGAAACCAGTCACACAGCTGAGCTCTGAGCTCGGGGTCTGGCACACAGGGAGAGAGCATGGCGTGCCTTTAGAAGACCTGCTCTCAACACCTGCTGGGGGACATGATTGCTAAGGAGGAATCTTCCTTCTGTCCATCTCCCAGTCAGGCTCTCTAGATATATTCAACTGCCCGCCAGACTCTGGTCTAGAAGGATGCCACGGCCAGTTGGCATTCACTCTGTTAGTCTGATAAGGAGCTAGTTAAAAGCCAGGGTCATGTATACGTGACTGGGATTCAAACCTAGGCAGGTCCCTCAAAGTCTAGGGTCTTGACCAATGCAGGATTCAGCACTCCTTCTGGTCTGATGAGGAGGCACAGGCTTACCCACAGGGAGCTCCTGGCCTCACAAGACCATGGGCATGTTCTCTGTGTGGCGGGATCCCCATTCTGGACATCCGTCCCCAACACAGACACAGCTTCTCCACAGCTTCCGAGACTCAGGGACACACCTCCTGGTGTGTGTGTACCTGCTTTTTCTCACACTCAAGGCCCAGTTCACATACCATCATCTATGCGACCTTCCCAAACCCCCACGGCAGAGGGGTACCATCTCCTCTGACCCAAGTCCTTGCATACCCAAAAGGTCACAGCTCCAATCATGTGGGTATCAGGGTCGCCCCATTAACCATGAGCTTTTAAAGACTGGGACCTATGTTATTTATGTTGAGATACACAGCACCAGGCCCAGTGCCTGGTGTGTAGCAGCGTCCCATGGTGCTTGCTGAATGAATATGTGAATGAGGAAAATAGGAGTGATGAAGGAAGGCTAGAGCTCCTTGGTTATGTACTCCACACAGCAGAGTTAGGCAGCTGGGAGGGTGATCTGTGGGGTTAGAGTGAGAGGCACAGGAGCTGAACCGGGGGAGGAGGACTGGGAGTGGAGGGGCACAGGCAGGGGGCTGAGAGGAGATCCAGGCAAGTCAGCCACAGTTGAGCAGGAGGCTAGAGTGACGAGGGCAGTGAGAACAGCAGGTCAGGGGCCATAAGGCCAGAGCACAGTGGGCCTCCTCCACAGCAAAGGAGGCTGGGAGGGCAGAAGGGCCCTGGCAACTGCTTCAGGGGATATGGGGCAGAACTTTCCAACAGGAAACACAGCCAGCCTCTCCAGGAAATGGGATTCCTGCACCCGGTGGGAGACAGGGCCCATTCCTCACCTCTGAAATTCTGTAAACAACTAGGACCACTGCAAGAGCATTCCATAAACAAATACCAACTCAGGCCCAAAACGTGAAAGTTTTCAAGGTCATGGTCAGAATCCGTTGGTGCCATGTGCCTTCTGACCTTGTATCCCCCACCCCCGTCTTCTTTCCCTCTCTTCACCCAGGCCAGAGCCACGGGCCACCTACCCCTCCAACCACCCCAAAGACAGAGCTACAGTCGGGCAAGGCAGACCCCAAGCGGGATGGGCGCTCCTTGGGGGAGGGCGGGAAGCCCCACATCGACTTTGGCAACGTGGACATCGGTGAGATCAGTCACGAGGTAATGTCCAACATGGAGACCTTTGATGTGGCTGAATTGGACCAGTATCTGCCGCCCAATGGGCACCCGGGCCACGTGGGCAGCTATTCGGCAGCTGGCTATGGGCTGGGCAGCGCCCTGGCTGTGGCCAGTGGACACTCTGCCTGGATCTCCAAGCCACCAGGTGTGGCTCTGCCCACGGTCTCGCCACCTGGTGTGGATGCCAAAGCCCAGGTGAAGACGGAGACCGCAGGGCCCCAGGGGCCCCCCCACTACACTGAGCAGCCCTCCACCTCCCAGATTGCTTACACCTCCCTCAGCCTGCCCCACTACGGCTCCGCCTTCCCCTCCATCTCCCGCCCCCAGTTCGACTACCCTGACCATCAGCCCTCAGGACCCTACTATGGGCACTCGAGCCAGGCCTCCGGCCTCTACTCGGCCTTCTCCTACATGGGGCCCTCACAGCGGCCCCTCTACACAGCCATCTCTGATCCCAGCCCCTCAGGGCCTCAGTCCCACAGCCCTACACACTGGGAGCAGCCTGTATACACGACCCTGTCCCGGCCCTAAAGGGGACCCTGTCACCACCACCCTCAGCCGGGCTCCTCCTGGGTATTGCACCCCTTCCCCAATTTTTGTTCCCTATTTCTTGTCCATCTCGGACCTGGAGGTGGCTGACGACCGAGGGAAAAAATTCTGTTAGGCAGCCCGCCCTCGATGACGCCACTGAACCCCATGCAGACCCCGGCCTGGGGAAAGCCATGGGCTGCTAGGCTGGACTGAGGAGAAGGAGGATGGTTGGCACCCCCAGACTGAAAGACAAGGGGCTGCACCTTCCCCCAGGAATGACCCTCAACCCCAGGACCTGAGAAGGACCCGTTTTCACAGGAGGAGGGACACCCATTGGAAACTTTGCCATGGGGTGTGAGGGGCCTGGCACACCCCTCTGTCATGTACCTGAGTGTGGGGGGAGGGCCAGGTCAACCAGAGACCACGTCAGTGCCTGCAACTCCAAACAACCTTATAGGGTGGCAGTGGGGCTGGAGGTTCCCCATGACCCCTCAATGGGCCCTCGCCTCATGAACACCGGCACGGGTTGGCACAGAGCTCCCCCAGATCCAGTTCTGTGCCAGTAACCTTAGTACCTTATTCCAGGCCTCCTGCGGGGCTCGTTCCTGGAGGTCAGGCAGAGGTTGTGGAACACAGGCATACACAGACAATTCACGGAGCTTCCGCCCCAGGCTCCTGTCCAGCGCCCTTCTTCCCCTGGCCAAACTCTGGCCTCTGCTCTGTCAGCCCCATGTCCCTGGACTCCCTGAGAGGTCTAGCTGCTCAGGCTCAACCCCTGGGCTCCAGGAGGAGGGGCTGGTCCCAGCAGCCAGGTGGCTGGCAGCAGGTTGAAGACACGTGCGTTCTGCCCTGGCCTTTTGCCCTTTGCCTCCCCCAGTGGTATTGGAATAAAATATGTAGCTTTCTCTGCCCCTACTTTCCTGTTCTACAGCCCCACATCCACATGTAACTCATTACTGTCCCCCTTATTTATCTCGGTAGCCCCCCCTCTCCTCCTCCAGCTACTTCAGCCCCTATTAACTCTGCATTAAGCATTCCACATAATAAAAGTAAAGGTGCCTGCTACCTGCTTGGCGGGCTTGGCCTGGCCTGTCTCCTGGTCTCTTCTCCCTGTACCTGTGCTTCTTAAATACTTTCGGGAAAGAGCTAGGGATGGAAGGAAGACAAAGAATAGAGAACCTAAAGGTCTCCTCATCTCCCCTAAGAAGCTGGGGCAGTAATGTGGGTTAGGTGGGTGAGGACAACTGGTGCCCCAGTGGAGCTGAGCTGTGCCCAGAGAGTGGGGTCTCAGATGGGTGCCTTCCCACTGGCCAGCTGCCCCGGCTCTGAAGACAGGGCGCTCTGATCCTCATTGGCTCAAATTGGGATTCAGTGTGAACCCATCAAGCTGCTCTGTTGCTCAGCCAGCAGAAAGGAGGTAGAAACAAATCCAAGGGACAGGTGTTGAGAAGGGAGTCTCCGGAAGGGTGGAAATGGTTAACATGCTCAGCTGCTCACTGAAAGGTTGGAGGTTTGAATCCATCCAGAGATGCCTTGAGAGAAAAACCTGGCGACAGACTTCAGGAAGCCCAGGCATTGGAAGCCCTGTGGAGCACAGTTCTACTCAGACACATACGGGGTTGCTGTGAGTCAGAACCGACTTGATGGAAACCGGGAAAATGTGAAGGGAGGAGGTGGGTCAAGTCACATTGTGTCTGCAATCAGCTTCTCTTGCTGTACCCCTCTACCTGCCATAGCCCCCCAACACACATACCCCACATATGGGCCTATTCAGGATCTGAGTCCTCACAGCACTGCCCGTCAGATCAGAGACCTGTCGAGAAGTGCTCTGTCCTGGGGGAGATCCAAGGAGCCACTCCGCAGCAGTTCACAGCTCCAGACAAGGGGCATTCACCAACTTATCCCACTGATAGCCCTGGTGCTTGGAAATTCTTCCTTCTACCCTGCCAGAGCCTGTCTGCCCAAAACGTCTACTGAGTGCTCCCCAGACAAGCACTTTGCCAAGTGCCTTGTGTCCTGCAGACCTATGATGCTGTGGGTCTCATTATTAGCCCCATTTTCCAGATGGCTGACCCGAGTGTGTGTTCTTACCCCATCTCTACCTGCCCATCATCTGCTGGCCCTATTTTTACTTTCAGAGTCCCTGGGTGGTGCAATTTACACACTCACTGCTAACCTTTTGGTTCATGCTCACAGAGGCACCTCAGTAGAAAGGTCTGGCAATCTGCTTCTGAAACAGCAGCCATAGAAAACCCTCTGGAGACAGTCCTACTGACACCCATGGGGCAACTGGAGTGGGGATCCTGTCACTGAACCACAGCTAATGTCTCCACAGTCCTCTCATTTGTTTCTTCCATCCAAGGTCACCAGCCCCTCCGCCTAGTCAGGACTTGGAGGCACCAAGAGCTAGTTCCATCCTCCCAGGGTGGCCAATCTCCTTTGATCTGGAACTCAGACCTCTTCATCTCTTTGGGCACCTTTCTCTAACCTGTGACTCCCATCAGGCTCAGCGGTAACTGCAAGCCTCTGCCCCTTTACACAGTATCTGCTGTCGAGTCAGCCCACCTCCAACACTATAAAACTGCTGGTTTTACTGGAGCAAAATGCAGGATTTTACATTGATCTGTAACAGATGTCTTCTTACTAGTTTTGACCCATTTTCCATCTTTTGGCTTTCTGGATCCAACTTACTAGCTTTATGTATCTGTAAACTTGAATGTCATCATTCAAGGCACTAATAAAAGACTGAAATGAGGAGGCATGTGTGTACACCACTAAACCTCTCTATATCATTGTTTATGTTGAGTGCCATGGAGTCAGTTCCAACTCATTGAGACCCTCCCCACATAGTTTCCAAGGAACAGCTGGTGGGTTTGAACCATCTATCTTGTGGTTAGCAGTCCAGTACTTATCCTACATCACCACACCAAGACTCCATTCATCTTGTTGTTAAGTGCCATCAAGTCAATTCCAACCCTGTACAGGGTTTCCAAGGAGTGGTTGGTGAGCTTGAACCACCGACCTTGCAGTTCAAGCCGACTTTGCAGTCTAGTGAATTAACCCACAGAGCCACACCAGAACTCATAGTCATGTGGCAATATTGCCTGATGGTGGACCAAAATCGAGAAACACGTGTCCATCCCATTCACAATCTCTAAGACCATTAACCATCAAAAGAAATTCTGTTCATCGGATGACACTCCCTCTGCTTGTTCCCAAGGATCCCCTCGTTCGTTCTATCAAATAGCTTTCAAATGTGGAATAATCTAGTCTAGAACTTCGCTAGAGATCATCAGCACTGACTGGGCATGCTCAAGGTTTTCACAACCCACCCTTCCAGTGGTACTGAAAAGCAGGGCATCAGTTTCTTCCTAAGTCTGTTCACTGCTGCTCTTCTCAGTGGAACGGGCTCTGGAGCTGACACTGGCAGTGAGCGGGAGAAGGGGACATCAAGAAGACACACCCCGCCAGGACCCCACAGCCCATGAGACTGACTCCAAGATCACAGGAGATGTGGGAGTGGGGGGACCAATGACCCCAGTGGAGTCAGAAGACCGGGTGACTCATCACTGAGACCAAAGGTCCCGGATGTGCTGAGGCCATGGGAGCACGGGGCCTCCTCCTGTAAGGAGAGAAGGGCCAGGTGTTTCTGGAAAGGACTGAGGGGCTCTGACCACATCCCAAGACAGAGGCAGCAGTGGAAGGCAGAGCCCCGGCCTGCAAGGGAGAGAGTAGTGAGAAGGGGGCAGTGAGAGAAAACTCCCCTTTCTCTTCCGTTTCCCTGACACCCCAGCCCTAAGGGTTAACCCTCTCCCTTCTCCCCTCCCCGCCCAAACCCCATCTCCCTTTAATCACATCTGATACTGAGCAGCCCAGAAGAAAACAAAGAGGCCATTTAGAGAAATGGGGCCGAGAAAATGACCCCCGTACTCTGGGGCGGCCGCCTGGATGCCGGCACAAAGGCGGCATTTCAGAGCTGAAATTTCAGCACCCAACTTGATTAAAGGATTCCACAGGCTGGGAGGAAGGCGGAAGGGGTGCAAGTCCACTGCCCCCTGAATTAACCCTTCTCCAGACCAATAAGCACCCTGGCCGCGCCCAACTGTGGGTGCACATCATCCCCACCCTGTCCAGGGCACACCGTGGTCAGGCCAGGCCTCGGTAGAGGCTAAGTCAGTCTGGAAGGGGAGGAGACAGGGGAGGCTTAGGCTGGACTATTTGGGGTACCAACTCGCCCTAGTCCCTTTGGTGTCAAGATCTTCGCTTTCCCCTGTACCTCTGAGGGAGGAGCCAATGTGATAGGTCATGCTCAGATCTGGTAAATGAGGTACAGAATGACTCATTAGCACCCCAAGGCTGCTCACGCAGGGCAGAGGGGTCTGACCCCAGGAACCCAGCTTCCTTGCCCACTGTCATCCTGGTACCCAGTCTAGTTAAGGTTCGCAGGGATGGGGCGCAAAGCTGGGAGAGGAGGTGGGTGTGGCAGAGCAGAGAGGTGTGGGCAGTGGGGCAGTGGCCAGAGTAGGAACAGGGACAGAGGGGGTAGGGCCAGGCAGGTGCTCCGGCCCGGCTCCAGCTGTGGCCTTGCCCAGCAGGCTCTGGCTGGGGAGGCGGGAGATGGCTGTGTCCCCAAGCTTCCTGCTGGGACACTGCTCCTGAAAGGGGATCCGAGCCCCTGATAAGAGCTTGAGGCAGGTCCTCAGGAAACAATGGGCGGCTTGATGAGACCTGCTCTGTGATACTCCTGAGAAGGGAGAAGCCCCTTCAGCCAGGCCCCACTGGAGAGGAAATTGGGGGTTTCCGTGGCAACCAGTTCCCTGGGCACAAAGGCTGGTCTGTGTGCTGGGAAGGCAGCTGAGGTGTCGCTCTGGGGAAGCAGGGAGACAGGGAGGGATGGGGTCCATGGGGGTAAGGGCCAGGGGCTTCTTAAAGAGCTGACAGTCACGGGCCTCTGGGGCAGCTGTGTGCTCCAGGCAGGCCCAGGGAAGACGGGCCACAGATAGCACAAGTGTCGGGCTAGGAGGCGGAGCAGTTTATTATTTACACGGATGAAGAGCAGGAGAGTAGAGGCCGAGGTGGGGCAGGCAGGAGGCTGGGGCTCAGTCGGTGATGATGAGTTCATCCACGCCCCAGTCCTCATAGCTCCCGTCTGGCAGGTAGCGGCGAATGATGATGGGGATCTTTCGGGCCCTGTGGAAGGGAGAAGTCTCAGGGCAGCAGGGCTGGTGAGGCCAGCTCTATGCATCAGGGACAGAACGTAGAGAGCACTCTGTTGGGAAGGAACTACCAGCTAAAAGGTGTTCCACACCCTGAGTATGGGACGGTGTCGGGAAGGCTCTGCCATCCCATGGCAACAGACACAGACGCCTGTCCCTCCCAGGACATTGGGGGTGGGGGGGGGCTCCGCAGCAGTGACCCACCACCTGGGTGACTTACTTGAGCTCCTTCATGGCGATGAGCAGGGGGTCTGTCTCCCCCTCCAGCTCCACCATCACGGGGGCACACATCCTGCGGGCACAGAGACAGATGTCAGGGAGGTCAAGCAGGAGGTCAGGGTGGGCACCCGTGTTCTCACCTCCCCAAACCTCAGACGTCTCACTGCAGCATGGTGGTTGTTGTTGTTAAGTACCGTGGAGTCGGTTCCAACTCCTAGTGACTCTGCACAGGGTTTCCGAGGCTGCAAATCTTTGTGGGAGCACACAGAACAGCTGGTAGTTTTGAACTGCCGACCTTGAGGTTAGCAGCCTGATTCGTAACCACTACGCTACCAGAGCTCCTTGCCTGCATGGTGGGGGTGCTGAAATAATGACAGTCAGCAGGTAAGTGCTGCCCAGGGGCTGCCTGCTGCTCTCAATGCATTACTTACTACTGCAGTGGGCGGTGGTGCTGTTTGTATTTCTAACGCACAGATAGGTTAGCAACATGCTCAAGGTCACACAGCCAGTAAATGGCAAAGCCAAGATCTGAACCCCACGTACTGCTTCCTAACCACGTAATATGACAGGTATGATGAACATGACCAACATCAGCTACAATCATTATAACATATGATCCATCATGTCAGCCCCCTACCCAAGACCATCCCCAGGGCTGATCGCAGATGCCAGAGCCCGGATGCAAGGCAGAGCATTGAAGGTACAGGGAACAGCATGTGCAGAGGCACACTATTCTGACCACTGGATTCAAACCCAGAGCCTGGTGGCCTCAGAGCCCAGCTCTCCACATTTCCCTCAGAGTCCTGGTGTGGCACTGTGGCTTAACACACTGGACTACAAGGTCAGTATGAACATCAAGGTCAGCGGTTCAAACTTATCAGCAGCTCCTAGGAAACCCTATACACGGTTGCTATGAATCGGAACCAACTCAACAGCATTAACAACAACAACAACCCCTTTGGTGGTCTCGAGATCCACTCCCCGGTCTCCACAGTCTGTGACCAGGGTGCTCTCCCGCTTATAATCCTTCTACGACTCCTACGGCCAGCAGGCCAGAACCCAACCTGCTCCTTGCTCCCCATTCTGGCATCTTCTCAGGCTACTTCCCTCCACGTACCCCAGGTTCCAGCCAGATCCTTCCACTGTGTGTCCCCTCCAAGCCTGGCTGGGCTCCGTGTCCCAGGAGCACCCGGGCTGTGTCCTTAGGGCCTCCCCTTTCTGCACAGGTTTCTCCTAGGCCCTGTCTCACGGCACTGGAACTACCTGCTCAGAAGGTTTCCTACAGACCACCTGGGGTTCAGCGTGCTCCCCACCCAAAAAAAAAACTACTCCAGAAACAGGCAAGAGGAGACTGATTCGAGGCCCACCTCCTCCAGGAAGACGCCCTTGACTATTCCAGCTCACAGTCACACAGATCCCGAACTTGGCTCATCATCAGAAATGACTAAGAGCTCATGCTAGAAAACAGAGGTGAAGGGGCCTAGAAATCTCTATTTGCAAAGCTCCCTAGGTGATGCTGATGCTAGGTAATTCCAAGACACCGGTGTACACCAAACAATTCACTTGTTTTACTGTTGAATATTTTGATTTGTTACTCTCAAAAACCTGAACATTTTCCTAAGGTGGAGACCAAGTATTTCACTTCCCCTATAATGGAATCCAAGAAGCTCTGGTAGCATAGTGGTTAAGAGTCGGGCTGCTAACCTCAAGGTCAGCAGTTCGAAACTACCAGCAGTTCTGTGGGAGAAAGATAAGGCTTTCAGCTCCCAAAAAGATTTACAGCCTCAGAAACCCCGTACAGGGTCGCTATGAGTCGGAACCAACTCCACATAACCCTATAATGGAGTCCTGGTATGGCACTATAGGATAAGCACTGGTCTGCAAGGTCAATTTGAACTGCAAAGTCAGTGGTTCAAACCCACCAGCTGCTTCTTGGAAAACCCAGACTGGTTCACTATGAGTCAGAACCAACTCCACAGCACTTCACAACAACAACTGGGAAAACGCACTAGACTGCAAAGTCACAGGCTCTCACTCACCGGTCGCTATGAGTTGCAACGGACTCAACAGCACATAACAACAACAACAATATCCTCCAAGAAGCCCTGGTGGTGCTGTAGGATAAGCACTGGACTGGCTAGCCACAAAGTCAGTGGTTCAAACCCATTAGCAGCTCCACAGGAAAAAGATGAGGCTGTCTGCTCTCGTACACATTTAGTCTCCAAATCCTATATAGGGTAGCTATGAGTCGGAATCCAGTAGATGGCAGTGGATTGGGGATTTATATCCTTTGTGAAGGAGCCCTGGTGGCAAAATGGGTAAGGCACTGAGCTAGTAAACACAAGGTGAGTGGTTCAAACCCACCAGCCACACCTCGAGCAAAAGCTGAGGCTACCTGCTCCCAGAAAGATTTACAGTCTCAGAAACCCAAGGAGCAGTTCTCCTGTGCCCTACAGGGCACAATGAGTCAGAATCGACTCAATGTAAGTGGGTTAGGGATGTAGCCGCCTATACTGCCTCTATACATAAACCTTCAAAGAACAGGGCAAGGTGCTCTCCTGGTCTACGTCAGCCTTACTTCTTCCAAGAGGAGTAACTGAAGAGCACTCATTCCCCCAGCACCTACTATGTGCACACAATGTGTGCAGGGCCTATGTGACTAGGTCCATCTCCCTGCCAAACCTAAACACCTGGGGACTGGGGAATTGCATATTTAATCATTGTCACACTCTCAACAGTAATTTGTCACACACGAGGACTTGTGACAGTGAAGAATTCTCTGGGCAAAATACCGAATGATGCAGAAAGCATCAAAAGAAGATGGCAGGAATACACAGAGTCATTGTGCCAAAGAGAAATGGGTGATGTTCAAGAGGTAGCATATGATCAAGACCCAATGGTCCTGAGCTGCACTGAAGGCATTGGCAAAGAACAAGACTCTGGGAATTGATAGAATACAAATGGAAATCCTTCAACAAACTGATGTAGCACTGGAGATACTCACTCAGCTACCTGGCCAACTGACAGAACAGATCCGTATGTGTGCCAATTCCCAAGAGAGGAGACCCAATGGAATGCAGAAATCATTGAACATCATCATTAATCTACATGCAAGTAAAAGATAGCTGAAAACCAGCTACAACAGTATCAGATTCAGAAGAGTATATAGAACTAGAGCTATTGCTGACGTCAGCTAGCTCTCGGCTGAAAGCAGAGAATACCACAAAGATGTTTGCCATTGTTGTTAAGTGCCATTGAGTCAGTTCCGACTCGTAGCGACTCTGTGTAGGGTTTCCAAGCAGTGAACGCTGAGTTTAAATCACTAACCTTGTGGTTCAAACCAACCTTTCGGTCCAGTGATTTATCCAAGGCTTTCGACTGTGTGGCTCATGACAAGCTATGGACAACACTGTGTAGAGTAAGTATTCTAGAACACTTAACTGTGCTCACAAGGATCCTATACATAAAGAGGCAGTTGTTTGAACAGAACAAAGAACGAATGGCTTAAAATCAGGAAAGGTGTGTGCCAGGGTTGTATTCTTTCACCGTATTTTTTCAATCTGTATGCTGAACAAATAATCTGAGAAACTGGATTCTATGAAAAAGAAGGTGGCATCAGGATTGGAAGAAGACTCATTAACAACCTGCAATATACAGATGATACCACCTTGCTTTCTGAAAGCGAAGAGGTTTTAAAATCCTTACTGATGAAAATCAAAGACCACAGCCTTCAGTATAGGTTGCACCTCAATGTGAAGAAAACAAAATCCTCACAATCAGACCAATAAATAACATCATGATAAATGGATAAAACATTGAAGTTGTCAAAGATTTCATTTTTCTTGGATTCACCATCAACACTCATGCAAGCAGCAGTCAAGAAACCAAACGATGCACTGCATTCGGTAAACTTGCTGCACAAGACCTCTTTTTAAGTGTACAAGAATAAAGCTGTTAGTTTGAGAACTAAGGTGCACCTGACCCAAACCATGGTATTTTCCATCACTTCATACGCATGTGAAAATTGGTCTGTGAATAAGGATGACCGTAGAAGAATTGATGCATTTGAGTTATGGTGCTGGAGAAGAATATTGAAAGTATCACGGACTGCCAGAAAAACAAATCTGTGTTGGAGGAAGTACAGCCAGAATGCTTCTTACAAGCCAGGATGATATGACATTATCTGTCATATTTCAGACATGTTATCAGAAGGACCAGTCCCTGGAGAAGGACCTCATGCTTGGTAAAGTAGAGGGTCAGTGAGAAAGACGAAGATCCCCAACAAGGTGGACTGAAGCAGCAGCAGCAGCAATGGGCTTAAGTATAACAATTGTGAGGATGGCACAGGACAGGGCAGTGTTTTGTTCTGTTGTGCATAGGGTCACTATGAGTCAGAGCTAAATGGATGGCACCTACCATGGGATCCTTGAACACATTTGCCAACAATCCTTAGGAAGTGGATGTGATAAACAATATCAGCCACCAGATGGTGCTAATGAGCCAGACTCAACCTTCATCTGAATGCTAAATTTATTCCGCTCCTTGGAAACCCTACACAGGGTCAACACTTAATAACAACATTAAGCACAGTAGTATAGCAGGCCAATGCACTGGACATGGTCGGTTTGAACTGCAAGGACGGTGGTTCAAACCTACCAGCCATTCCTTGGAAACCCTATTTTGTTGTTAGGTGCCATCGAGTCAATAGCAACCCTACGCACAACAGAACAAAACACTGCCGGATCCTGGGCCAACCTCACAATTGTTGCCACACTTGAGCCCACTGATGCTGCCATTTTGCCAATCCATCTCACTGGGGGTCTTCCTCTTTTTCTCTGACCCTCCACCCTATCAAACATGATATCCTTCTCCAGCGACTGGTCCCTCCTGACAATATGTCCGAAGTATGAGACGAAGTTTAGCCATCCTGGCCTCCAAGGAGCACTCTGGCGGCACTTCTTCCAACACAGATCTGTTGGTTCCTTTGGCAGTCCATGGCACTTTCAATATTCTCCTCCAACACCATAACCCAAAAGCATCAGTTCTTCTACGGTCTTTGTTATTCACTGTCCAGCTTTCACATGCATATGAGGTTATTGAAAATACCATGGCTTGGGTCAGGCGCACCTCCTTAGTCTTCAAGCTGACATCTTTGCTCTTCAACACTTTAAAACGGTCCTGTGCAGCAGATTTGCCTAATGCAATGCGTCATTTGATTTGCCTGCTGCTTCCTTGAGTGTTGACAGTTGATCCAAGAAGAATGAAGTCCCTGACAACTTCAATCTTTTCTCCATTGATAATAATGCTGTTTATTGGTCCAGTGGTGGGGATTTTTTTCTTTACATTGAGATGTAATCCATACTGAAGACTGTACTCTTTGATCTTCAACAGTAAATATTTTAAGTCTTCTTCACTTTCAGCAAGTAGTACTTGGCCATCTATACAGGGTCATTATTCAAAGGCACGTAAGAACATCAAGCGCTGGTTCCCTACTACCAGATACTAATGGCATATAGACCTGCTCCCCTTTCCTTGTCAGAAGATAGAGTGGGGCCATAGCACAATCCCAAAGAGAAGCAATACCCTTTTGTAGCAGTGGTCTGAATGTCTGCCTCAAAAACATTTGTATGCATCATCACATCACCCACATATGAACTCCAGTCTTTGAAACTTAAGGCTCACTCAAGGCTCTAGTGACATCTTTCCCAAGCTCATGACCCAAGCCACTTGCCATCCCCAACCATCCACATGCATCTGTCTTGATCTGGTACCTGGAGCACCTTCAAAGCCATCTCCTCCCTTTACTTGTCCCTGTGTGAATTCTAATTCCTTCATGAGACTTTCCCAGGCACCCTGAAATTACTGTTTCTTTGTACTTTCATAACCATGTCCCCTACCCCCACCCAACTGAACACCTAGAGGAGGGGGATTACGTCTTTCAACATGTTCACACCCCAACAGGAGCTAACAGAGTGTCTCACCACATGCTGAAGACTAAAAGCTTCTTCCCTGCTGGGCCACTTTCAGCTAGACCAGCACTGCCCAGGAGAAGGCCACTCTGTGAGGACAGAATGTTCTGGATGTGCACTAGCCATAGGTGGCTACTGCACTTGGAACGTGACCCGTGACGATGGACTGGATATTCATGTTCATTTCAATAAATTCCATTTCATAATTTAAATGTCAATAGCCATATGTGGCTGGCCCAAACCACTGCAGAGTACAGCCAGGCTAGCCAGGGTCTTGCACCCGGGTGTGGGGCCTTTCAGTGAGGGGGACACAGCTGTCATTGTTACACCCCAGAACTGCCTGCCCAGACTGAGCATCACTACTCCTCCAGCATTCTCCACCCCTCAGAGCTGCTGCCCCTCGTCCACAGGCCCATTTCTCACACCTCTCCCATGCAGGTTTGGACCCCTTTCCTCAGCCAGGTGCTTCCTTTCCATGGCTCCCCGTGGGTGGAGGATAGTGCCCTGTCTGTCTGCGGAGCGAGTCTCTATGAGCCAGTCTCTGCAGTCCCTGCTCTCAAAGCCACTTGTCCACAGCGTCCACGCTCCTCCGTGCCCTCGAAGGCCTCAGCAGGCAGCTGTGCAGTCCCAGTCTCTGACTGTGGAGTCAACCTCACTGTTCAAAGGCCACACAATCCGAGCTGGGGCCCAGGGACCTCCAGCTGCCTACTGTCTATCATCTGAGTCTTGTTTTCCTTCAGCTGGCTCCCAACTTAGGAAGGAGAAGAAGGTGGCTACGGATGGATCCTCCAGCACCCCACACTTCCCTGAGCACCCACGTCTTGACAAGGAGTGCCCTTCCCACTCCTCTGGGCTGGCCACACTGCACCCAGGGGTAAGACGCACCATAAGCCAGTGGGAGCTACCGTCTGACTAGCAGCCTAGAGCTTGGGAATTCACATTGTTTTTGATTTGCTTCACTGACCTGAGAGGCCATCATGTGAGTCTGGGTTTTCACTGTGATTTTTCCTACGTCCTTCTCCGATGCCCAGATGCCATTTCTCCCACAGATGTAAACTCCCTGGGGGAGGGGTTGAGCACAAAGCCTGGCACACCGTGACAGGAGGGCCTGTGTCCAGGTTCTGGCTGGGAAGGATAAGCAGAAGAGGGGCACACACTCACGCGATCTGGAGGGCTCGGGTGCCCAGCACGCGGGCTCGCTCATACTTGGTCATGTACGGCGTGGTGATCCGCTTCTGGTTGGCCTGCGGTCGCTCCCCTGATGGAAGGATCTCGACGTTCTCCTGGCCCTCCTGGACACCCAAAAAGAAAAGAAGGAAAACCTGGGAGTCTGGTGACAAAGGGGGTTAAGCACCCAGCTGCTAATGGAAAAGGCGGCAGTTGGGACCCACCAGCTGCTCTCCAGGAGAAAGAGGGAACCCGGTGGGACAGCTCTACTCTATCCTACAGGGTCACCAGGAATCACCAAGGGCTCCAGGACATTGCATGTGGAAAGGAGAGCCTGCTGGGTGCATGCTATGGGAGAGGAGGGGGAGGGAGGAGGTGACACAAATGGCCCTCCCCATCAAACTCACTACTGTTAACGCTTATTCCAGGCTAGCAAGTCTGCACTGCCTTGCTAACGCCTTACTTCGTCCCCACAACAGCCTTCTCAAGTAGGGATCGCAGCCCCTGCTCTAGAGGCTCAGACATCGTGAGCGTAACCAGAAGACCTAGTCAAAGGCTGGGATGGCCTAGGTCTGGTGACTTCCAAAGCCAATGCCTACCCATGTATATGAGAGGCAAAGAGTCAGGAGATGGGGACAGGGGTCCCCAGGATGTTGGCTCTATCAAGAGGTATCCTAGATGACAAATAACCCTAAGCAGGAAGTTGGGAGCAGGCATCCCACCCCCCACCTACAGTAATTGAGTCACGGGGTCATGTGACTAAAAAAGGCAGGAAACATGTACTGGCACAGAGAACAGTTCTTGGTTAGCCTGTTTTAGGGGAGACATGGGAGCAGAGCAGTAGGGGCTAAGAAGGCCACACATGATCATGCAGCCGAGTTAACGAAATGGTGAGAGGGCGTCAAATTCATCCTGGGTTTGAGAAGTGTGCAGAGACTTAACAGAGGAGTAGGAGCAGCCAGGCCAACAAGCAAGAGAAACCCATTCCAGGCAGATGGAAAAGCTTGCACAAGGGAACCAAGGAGAGAGAGAACAGATTAGGTGCAGAAAGCTAATTGTGGAGTTTGATGAGAACAAAAGGTGCAAACAGTTTTGTAGGGAGGAGGTTAAATTGCATAATGAAGAAATAACTAATTCTGTAAATATTTACTGAGTGCTGACTCCTCAGAGGCGCTATATGCAGGGTCACTGAGTGAGAACCAACTTGACAATACTAACAACAAAACAACAACAACAACTATATGTAAGATAGCGATCTAAGTGCTCGGGATGAACAGTGAGTGATTAAACAAGCCACATTAGAAATTCTTGCCTCACACCTAAAACGGGGCGACAACATGCCCAGTGAAGGAGGCTTCCTGCGGAGCCGCTGCAATACATAAGACTGTAGGTGGAAGCCTGAACCACATCCAGATCTCCAGAGATGGGAGATTCCCACTTGAAAGGGCAAGCAGACCAGCCTGGAGTGGCTAGAAGAACAGAAGATACTTCTTGAAAGAAAGACCTACAGGAAAAACATAAAACAACATAGGCAGACCTACTGTTACTACAAGAACAAGCAACTTGCTTGCCCAGGAAACATCAAGGCAAGTGGTCGGGTCCCCTCAGTGCAAACCCCCTTCCAAGACTAAGACTCAATGGGAATACATGCTCTGATT